ACACACACACACACACACACACACACACACACACACACACACACACACACTTCCACTATTTACATTATGTAATTTTATATATTTTTTTTTTACAGTGTAAAGTGAGTGATGATTGTGCAGATAAATACTAATGTGACGAGTGCCTTTATGTGTGCTCCACACAAATCGCGTATACAGATTCGCGAGAGTAAACGGAAGAAGGCAAACATTAAAATCACCAAGCAGACCGGATGTTTTGCGAAATTAATAGAGAACACCGCTTTTCGCATCGAGTCGTATACGCGCGCGTGCCGCGGTCAGATTTATAATTGTCATTAAATCTCAATTAAATGAAACGTCGCAAGGCAATAGCAATTTCGCGAGTTTTAATCTCGCATACGTATACGTCAAATTCGTGCAACTCCGACTATGCCGTGCGCGCCCCACTTGTGATATTTCATTACGAGCGCGTATGATACGAAACAAAGGATCGGCGCCCGCGGCGATGTTATTTAATTTTTGAATCTGAATTGCGGAAGCGAAAAAGAGAGCTCTCTTCCCCCTGGCGGTGGAGAGCCACGATGTTACGAGCGTTAGAAAAAGAAGTATGACGCGCGCTCCGCTTTTCATTTCATGACAATCGTAATTCCCTTTCCCCCAGACAGAATAGCCGTGGTAACGAGGTAATCGCGATGATAACGTTTACTTTGCTCGCAGACGCAACGTCAGTAACCGAACGTAGACATTTTCATTGAAAAGTTTTTTATTGCAATCTGTCATTTGAAAATTCCGAGGTTCGAGTCGTAAGCCAGAATAATATGGTAAAGTGGGATAATTTACTTTTGTACCGCTGACGATTTTGCTTTTGTGCTATTTACTGTCGGAGTAATTCGTTTTACGTTATTTAGAAGGAATAATTGAAATATCGTCTGAGATTTCCTTCGCTGCTCGTGAGTGACTGCTCTTTTCGTATAGTTCGATAACGCGTAAAATTATATGTATTTGCATTAATACAAAATCCTTATATTATTTACGAGTTTCTCGCGACGCAAAACGCACTTTTAAAATTTTTCGTCGGAACTACACATTCCCTTAGCCTAAATAAAACACTCTTTACACAATTTATTAAAAAAAAGGATAAATTTATAATAATAAAGATCTTATATATAAAATAAAATTCAAATATTAATAAAAGGATTATATAAGTCTAAAATAATTATTGATGCTCAAATTTTTCAACTTAAAATTGTCTTTAATTAGAATTCGTAACAATAGTAAAAAAGGTGAAGTATTACAAAACGTATTCTTATTATATTTAATTTTTTATTCTTGTTATAATTTTAATTAAAGACAATTTTAAATTAAAAAATTTGCATATCATTGACTGTATGAAATTCATATATACTTTTTATCAATATTTGAATCTCTCAATTTTATTGTATTTTCTTGCAAAAAGCGATAACAACGATAAAAGGAGTAATAAAATAATATTAAAATTGTTATAAGAAATATTATTTTTTATTAAATATAGAATGTCAATTTGTGCAAAAATTTCTAGTTGAAAATAAACGAAAGAACCAGAAGAATTAGATATTCATATATCAATTAGAATTCTGGTTATCCCAACTAGAATTATAACAGATTCAACCAGAAAATTCTGGTGTCTCTTTTCAACTAGAATTCCAATTAATGCAACCAGACCTCTTTTTTCAGTGTGGAGGTGCTTTGTTATGGCCAAAAGCTATAGATGGCAAACACAGACCGGGACGTTTCACAGTCGAGACCTGCTAGCGATCTCTGCTGAATTCTGGGAGAACCCCCGAAGCGTGTGTGTATATATATATATATGCAACCACGCGGAAGCTCGACATCATGACTCGCGCATCGCTTATTGCGACGCAGCAAACACCGACGCACCTGTGCACAATCGCACACCGACGCACATGCAAACGCGGAATAATGATGTTCTCTCGCGCTCATCTACTGCAAACATGAATTAGTAACATGCTCGCCGGCTACATACCGAAGGCTCTCCTTGCACCTTTTATATAATGAGTATACCGAGAGATTGCGCGTGATATTGAACTCTTTGCTAACAATTTAGATGGGATTTAGATCAGGACAGAGAAAATTTTGAGACATCAGTTCATTGAGATTTCAAATGTGTCATCAGGTATTTTCTCTTTTGTTGCACGCCGTGCTGGAAAAGCTTGTATTATTTGTAAGTTAGTCACAATTCGTGATTTAAGGATGTTTTGACTGTACAGAATCAATCAAAAGTAAACAATTTTGGTCATAAATAGCTTTAACTGCAAAAAGAAAAAAAACAACAAATAATTTAGTGCATCGCATGACTATATTTTACTGCAATTTTAAATAAAAATAACTTTTAAATAAATAACTTTTAAACGAGTTAATAAACTAGATTCAAAATAAATTTTTGACCGCGAATATTTGTTACAGTTTTAGTTTTTATAAAAAAAAAATGATTTAATTCATAAAGCTAATTCTTCATCGAAAATTGGTAATACTACAAAAAAAAAAAAAAAACGGGATTTTATATAAGAATCAAAACAAAAAAATTAAATAACTTAAAAAAGTTAAATGACTAAAGTCAATAAGATAATTCTATTCAAACTTTATAGATATTTAGATATATTAACAGAATAAGCAATAAAATTTTTATATTTTTGGTAATGCTTTGAGATGTGACATGGATCCTTACACAATAAACGTTGCCATTAAATTTTCATGCATCGTTCGCCCCGATTTCATAATATTCGCAATGATCTCGCTTCGAGATGAATTTCAAGAAGACACCCTTTGGGATACTCGACGCGATTGCGAAACTACTAACGACGCCAAGTGCGTGCAACGACGCCGACAGGCCAGGACGCACTTGAATCACATTGAAGTACTAAAGTGCCAAGTGGCCTATCTACCAACGAGAGCGGAATCTGTGCAGCGCTTGCTAGAGTGCCGCCGCTCCGACCGTTGTTCTCCCTTTGGCACATCGATTCTAGGTCGCGAAACAATGACGATACACATATTAAGCACGATACTTACTGTTCTTTGTGAAGGTGACGATCTTCAAGACCTTGCCATAGCGCGTGAAGATCTGTAACATACAAAATAAGCCTTGACTGAAAAAAAATCGATTGACTTACTTATTATCTATAAGGAATCTTATCTCAATTGATTTTGATTTATAAGAGACGATTTTTATTTCTTACAAACAAATATAACGAAGTATCATCTTTCGATTTTAACAAGCTTTAGATATATTGAAAAGAGAAGAGGAGAGAGAGAGAGAGAGAAAAATAAGAGATACAAATTTTTTTACAAGTGCTTTCTTAGAACGTTAAGGGAAAATTTTCCTCGAAAAAAAATCGGTTTTTTTCTTCCTAAATGAATATCGTCTAATTGGATATTGTAGAATGATAACTTAATCTCTTGAGTTAAATGATATTTTATTATTTTTAACTTCCATGTACGTCAAAATGTAAATTAATTCATTTCTATAATTAGTTTCAAAGTAAATAACATCCATGTTAACTGCACTTGGTAAATAATAAATTAAATTTGAGTCAAATTTAATACATTTTCTTGAGTGTTTAATTATTTCAATTAAATTAATGATATATTGAGTAAGAGCGCGACATATAGAAATGATTAAAAATAATTCAAACTCTTGAATATAATTTCACATTATAAATTTAACAATAAACCATCAGATATAAAAAAAATATTTTAAATAAAAGTTGAATTTCGGGATTCTCTTTATAATAATAATAATAATAATAATAATAATAATAATAATAATAATAATAATCTTTAATTTTTAATTTTTATCAAAGAAGTTCGTTCATTTATAGAAAGAAAAAGGAACAAAATTCTTTTTTTCAAAAGAAGATTTTATTCACTTAATATGCAGAAGCATTTATAAAAAAATATGTGTCTCTCTTAATTTTGTCTACAAGTTATTAAAATATAATAGAACATTTGATTGTGTTTCCTTGTTAAATAATTTAATCAGCAAATATAATTACAAGGATGAATTAACCTGTTAAATTATAATTACATATTCGTTTACAATGATAACGAAATTCAAGGCGATGAGACCTGCAGGCGTTTCGCGAAAAATTACCTCGATTGAGCCTCATAATTAACGTCCGAGACTACAATTGTCATAATCGTATAGTTACACACAAGCTCGGGCAGGACGTGACCGATGAAAATTATGAGTTTAGCGGTATTTCGCAGCGACGAAATTACAAAATAATTGGTGTGGATATTACGACAAAGCGATTTATTTCAGGGCAACGAGCTACAAAACGGGCGTGTGGATTATCAGACTTATAATGCGGCAATTATCCTCGGTAAAAGCAGCTATCGAAATCCCTGGTAAAACAGCTCGTAATTACGATAACCGGACGGGCGTTCTAAAAAAAATTGATTTGCGACACAACAGGCGCGGTCGCGGAATGGCATTCTGCATAAATACCGGCGATATATTCAAAGGCCCGGGGTAACGTTCGCATGAATTTTCAAAAGCCTCTTTGGCGAACGGCGGCAGCCACGGCGACGGGAGTAGTATCACGCAATATTTACAGGCATATACGATGTCGAGCCGCGGGCTAATAATCGCGCACGGCTCACGTCAAACCGCCGGCCGTCATTGTCATATATTTGGTCGACAATGCCGATGATCACATTAATACCGCGAATGCAAATATTTGGCCCGGTATAACCGTTGCGTTCGCAACGGTCAACTGTGTACGGTTGGCTCTCCCGCGGCTTAGCCGTAGCACCGGAGCACCGAGGGATTAATGATTTTTTAATCTATCGGCTTTTCAACCCGATCGATTGTAAATCATTCCTTGTTGTTTATATTATAGATATTCATCATGTTGTTGATATAGAAACATCATTATTTCGATCTCACGTCTATTAGGCTCATTAGACTGGTCTGACAAATGGCATTGATTTGAGCACGTGAAATTAACACCTTAACTTCAGTTCTCGAGAGTTTTGATTAGAGTTCTAGTTTCCTTTGAAGAGCAGAGAAGTTCTTTAATGTTTTTAAAAAGTTCCGGCGATTACCACTATTAACTCGGGAATAGTCACCTGGGGTATTTTTATATCCCAGCGAAAAAATGTGAATTGTGAAATATTGTATGGATATTCTTTAACATGTTTTTTTACTTTCTTAATAATTATTCTTTATGAATCTTTAAATATGTAATGCCATTCAAAAGTCGCAATAAGCGACTATAGTTATATTAACTATAAAAAATTCTTTTTTTTTTTTTTAAGAAATAATATCATAATAAACTACTTAACTTACGTGTGTATTTCTTTCAATATTTTATTTATTATAGTTTCTACTTACTTTTTTTCAGAAAATTATAATTAAATCCACAATGTTTTCAAATCTAATAAATCAATAAGAAAACAATCAATAACAGTATATTATAAATAATGATTTTAATTGAGATGTAAAAACACCTTATCTGATCGCAAAAAATGAATGTGATTATTCCCAAGTTAAAATAACAATTAAAAAATGAGGTGCTAACTTTACACTCGATATCACGACCGAATAATTCTGAATAGCTATTTAATACCAATGAGTGATTTCCCACGCCGAGTTATTTTCTGACGCTCGAGATTGTCGAAAGGGTGCGTCCACCAAGTAAATACGTAAAAAGCTCGTAAAAGCGTGACCGCGAGGAGAAATGAAAAATTTGCAAGCGGGACACGGGAGCGGACGGAGGGATGGAAGGGAAACGCTAATGCGAGCTGCGTTTTAGCTCCCAAATATTCAATATTGCACGCGACCCGCGCCGAATGAGAAGTTTATATTTCGCCGCTAACGCAACGATAAATTCGCAAAATTGAAAATAGAGAAACGCATCATCGGAAGAATAGGAAGAAAAAAAAAACAAAACGACCGCAATATCGCGGAACGTTGCGCCGCAATATAAAACTGCGTATGAGGATGCATTTCTTGCAAGCTGTATTTTCTGCTTCGCGCTTTTGAGATCACGCTTCCTTTGATCGTGGCACGCGAAGTACGACGTATAAACAAATTCGTGATCTTTACGGCCTTTGTAAAACTCTTGCATTCGAAATTGCTTTGCAGAAATCTACAAAGGTGTTTGTTCTCGCAAAATCAATGTGATGATATTGTACTTTCTTCGACTCCATGTCACTACTTTTTTCTCCCTCCCCTCTCTCTCTCTCTCTCTCTCTCTCTCTCTCTCTCTCTCTCATGTTTGAAAAAATTACGTTTTAATGATTAAATCATTTGGAGAAAGAAAAATCACATAAGAGACGTAATTTGCAGTAATGCAAACTAATTTTTAAAACTCGCTAATGAGTACGTGGATATCTACATCGCAAAATAGCAGCGAATGCAGAGAAGTGTATTCTTTGATTAATTAATTCTCAATTTTCATGTTACTGCACGCGCGCATCTTTTAGGAAATATGGGAAAAAATTGCTGTAATAATAAATGGAATTCTGATGCTAAAAGGGAATATACGCAACGTGGAAGCGGCTTGAAAGAATGTGAAACACGCGCCGTGAGCTTTACAACAACGATTCTGTAATTAGTGGAATTCTAGGGAGAAAAGATGTATGCAACCATACTGTATATATCTGTGATATACGCATACACCAATTGGGACAAAGGCTTTTCATGTGCCAACGGCGCGGGCAGAACTTGAACTACGAGACACTTCTTTTTTAAACAAGTCGACAAAGCGACTTGTCCTTTGGTGCGCAATGTTCATGGCGAATTTCGAAAAATGGAATTCTTTAATCAAACTGAATCGAGGCAAAATATTCTTATTTAAACAAACAAGGGAAAATGCAATTACATTACAATGCAACGGTATGTCCTTCAACAAATTTAAAAAAAAAAAAAAACTCTTTTTTTCAAAAGATTTTATGAAAACATATAATTGTTTATAATTTTTAATTCGAGAAATTAAATAATGCACGGAGGAAGTCATGGTTAATAAGATATAAGTATTTGGTTCAGTGAATTTTGATAAAAGTAAATAGAATTTTTAATTATTATAATTAAATTTTGATACGCAATCTGAACATTTTAAATATGATACGGTTAGAGTTGATTAGACACGGTTAGTGTGTGTAATAAATAATATCCAAATTCAAAATAATGTCTGGTTAAAAAAAATACTTAGTAGAACTAACAGATTTCTGCTTATCATAATTAAATAATCTATTTCAACCAAAAGTCCTATTATTTTTACTAGAATTTATCAAATGTCTCGTTATCGTAATTAAAATATACGCGACTAAATTTGTCTTATTTTAATTAAGATAATGAATTGTTCATATTTCATCAAAATAATCTGTTATTACTTTAGATAATACATAAGTCAACCAATTTTTTCAGTGTGCAATAATCAATACAATAATAAAACAAAATTCTATATTAAAATAAATAAGAATCTGAAAATACAATGCCTCGATAAATTCACGATCTCTTTTCTTAATTTTTTCACGATCTCTCTTTTCTTAATTTTTTTTTACTAAATTAAAGCTTACAGGCAGACAATACTTGTTTTTAAGTATTGCATAATTGGTGCGTTTTTCAACAGTTTTTTTCGCCTGTTTGTACGTTGTAATAATTAACTTTTTCCGATAAAGAGCGAGAAAATTTTCCAAAGAGACTTTTAAAAATCATTTAAAATGTACGAGACTGTATTTACGGAATAGCGAAATTTTCCCGAATATAAACGTCGAGTATAATAATTAAAGCCTGCCCATTAAAGAGGCATCGATAACGATAAAAATTGGTGCATTTTCGCAAGTAGATCTCATTATCGTTACACGTTTATATTCCGCTATAAGCAATAAGAATCATTTTACGATAATTGTGTTTACGTAAATTGCTCGGATTTGGAATTTTCAAAATTAGCAATTACATGTAGACTAGTATGTTGCATTTTTTCACAATAAATCTTTCTTTCTTTTTTTTCTGTAACGCGCGAGTTCTGTATAGCGCGGTAACAATACATTGTGTAATAACTGCTTTTGATTAAAAAATAAGGTAAATGTCTCAATGACTGAATAAAAAGATAT